GCGAATAATTTTAATCCCGGCCAAATCACGAATTTATTAGAAGGTCACAACTGACCATTACAGTTATGCTGATAGCCGACATATTGGATATGTAGCGAAATAGCAACAATCTATATGTAAATGAAATTTATGTTAGTTATTTCGCTTATAAGTCAAGAAACGCTGGACGGATATTGCAAATTTTCACTAATTTGCAATGGGCTCTCGCCCGAAAAGGGTAAAATCTAAGAACATAAAATCAAATTAACATTTTTGTTATATTTACACGGAATTTTGCATGAGGAGAGGTAAAGAACAGGGAAGATGTCGAGCATTTTGGATGATCATTGGATTATATTTAATTGTAAAATGGACTACAATTGAATGAGTAAATATTGGGCAAATGCCTCCTGTCAAATGCCCCCGGTCAAATGCCTAAGGGTAACACCTGGGCAGGGCCCTATGAGATTATTTCTAAAATGAAATCTTTCAAAATGGATTTGGACATAAGGGGGCTTCTACCTTATTGTAGAGTTGTAGGGTATGACATGGTTGGCCCCGCACGACTATAGCCTTTGCTTTCTTTTTCGTGATATACACTTCAAATATAGATTTTGTTTATGAGGAAGACCTTGCAACGTCTTCGGTCTATACAAGACCTTGTAAAGTTCTGCTGTCTATGGAATACCTTGTAAAGGTCATTGTACTAAAATTTTGTGAAGATTTTTTTTGACTTAAATGTCATCTTTCTTTCTAAATTATGATTTTTTGCACAAACTAACACAAAGTACGCTTTAACCTTAAAATGTGATTTTAATATTTATGAATATCTCGAGTTTAGTCAAAAGTTAGACTCTTGATGTGTTCTATTACCAATAGTAGAATTTTGATGAAAAATAACTTCGTGAGATACTTTGACTTGCTAGGATCCCGTTTAAAGGAAGTTTCTAGCCATATTTTAAAAAAGGACCAAAAAGTCTACTTATTTGACTTGCGTGTTGGCTACAGTTTTCGACAAAAATATTCTTCGCATGTTTATCTGCAATATTGCTGAAAACACTATATACCTATATTGCAGGGATTCTGAGGAATCTTAATTCGAAATTTTCCAAAAGTGCAGAAGAAGGAGGAACTTGCCTCCTTCATTTTGGTCAACACTCGATACACTTGCCTTCCTTTGTAGATCCAAGTTTATTACCACATATTTCCAAACTTGATTCTCATGCCAATTTTTATTAAAGAAAATTTAAATCCTTCTTCAGTTGTGCTAAATGTCTATGCTATTCTGAGAACATTATTCTAACAAGAAGACTCATTAAAATGTTGAAGACATTTTTCTTGTAACATCAAACTTTGAAAGAAGTGTATCAAACAAATAAGCTCTTGTCAAAACCTTCCCCCCAAAATAAATTGCCGCTACGTGAGACATATTTTATTTATTTTTGGCCACTGAATCCTTAATGTCCTTGACAATAAAAATAAATGCCTTAACCAGTCACATCACTTAGGTTTTATTGTTACGGACACATGTTTTTATTGGAAAACACAACCATCTATAAATACATCAATGCATATTTTTGCTGAATATCGATTCGAATTTCAATATTTCCAACACGTTTTTTTGGCCATAATTGAAAGAAATCCATCTTTATCGTTTATTCTAAGGAAAAGAAGGAATCAATGTCAAGTAAATGAATGTCCAATTCCAAAGAGGAAAGAATCCAAAAAATCTCTCAGAAAAAAAAACTAAATAATTTACAAACAATAAAAATTATACAGAACCCACCGAACGGGGGAAACAGATCGTGGCACGTTTTTTTATTTTATTTACCATTCTCATCCTTCATTTTATTGGAAACACAAAATATGTTATGTAACGAAATCTAATACCAAAAATATGTCCATAAAACGTGACAAAATTGTGGTAATTCAATTGGCCAAAAAAGAGAGGAAAAAAACGAAACTAGGTTATAAGCGGCCACAGCTTATGTAGGAGATTTTTCTTGAAGGCCTTGTGAACTTTGTAGGGTAAGTAAGCTGCACAAAAGAATTTCTGTTGGCGGAAGACCTTGTATAGGCCTCTTTTCTCTACAGAAGACCTTTAAAGGACTTTGGTCTTTAAAAGAGAGACCAACGACATAGAGGACTTTGCAAAGGCCTTTGGTCTATATAGAAGACCTTGAAAAGGTTTTCGGCCTATAGAAGACCTTGTAAAGCTCTTCGGTCTATAGAAGACCTTGTAAAGCTCTTCGGTCTATAGAAGACCTTGTAAAGCTCTTCGGTCTATAGAAGACCTTGTAAAGCTCTTCGGTCTATAGAAGACCTTGTAAAGGTCTTCGGTCTATAGAAGACCTTGTAAAGGTCTTCGGTCTATAGAAGTCCTTGTAATGGTCTTCGGTCTATAGAAGACCTTGTAAAGGTCTTCGGTCTATATAGAAGACCTTGTAAAGGTCTTCGGTCTGTATAGAAGACCTTGTAAAGGTCTTCGGTCTATAGAAGACCTTTAAAAGGTCTTCGGTCTATAGAAGACCTTGTAAAGGTCTTCGGTCTATAGAAGACCTTGTAAAGGTCTTCGGTCTATAGAAGACCTTGTAAAGGTCTTCGGTCTATAGAAGACCTTGTAAAGGTCTTCGGTTTTTAGAAGACTTTGTGAAGGTCTTCGGTCTATAGAAGACCTTGTGAAGGTCTTCGGTCTATAGAACACCTTGTGAAGGTCTTCGGTCTATAGAAGACCTTGTGAAGGTCTTCGGTCTATAGAAGACCTTGTGAAGGTCTTCGGTCTATAGAAGACCTTGTAAAGGTCTTCGGTCTATAGAAGACCTTGTAAAGGTCTTCGGTCTATAGAAGACCCTGTAAAGGTCTTCGGTCTATAGAAGACCTTGTAAAGGTCTTCGGTCTATAGAAGACCTTGTAAAGGTCTTCGGTCTATGGAAGACCTTGTAAAGGTCTTCGGTCTATGGAAGACCTTGTAAAGGTCTTCGGTCTATGGAAGACCTTGTAAAGGTCTTCGGTCTATGGAAGACCTTGTAAAGGTCTTCGGTCTATAGAAGACCTTGTAAAGGTCTTCGGTCTATAGAAGACCTTGTAAAGGTCTTCGGTCTATAGAAGACCTTGTAAAGGTCTTCGGTCTATAGAAGACCTTGTAAAGGTCTTCGGTTTATAGAAGATCTTATAAAAGTCGTCTGCCTATAGAAGGACTTGTACAGGTCTTCTGCCTATAGAAGGCCAAGTAAAGGTCTTCGGTCTGTATAGAAGACCTTGTAAAGGTCTTCGGTCTGTATAGAAGACCTTGTAAAGGTCTTCGCTCTATATAGAAGACCTTGTAAAGGTCTTCGCTCTATATAGAAGACCTTGTAAAGGTCTTCGGTCTGTAGAAGACCTTGTAAAGGTCTTCGGTCTATAGAAGACCTTGTAAAGGTCTTCGGTCTACATAAGACCTTGTAAAGGTCTTCGGTCTATAGAAGACCTTGTAATAGTATTCGGTCTATAGAATACCTTTAAAGGTCTTCGGTCTATGGAAGACCTTGTAAAGGTCTTCGGTCTATGGAAGACCTTGTAAAGGTCTTCGGTCTATGGAAGACCTTGTAAAGGTCTTCGGTCTATGGAAGACCTTGTAAAGGTCTTCGGTCTATGGAAGACCTTGTAAAGGTCTTCGGTCTATAGAAGACCTTGTAAAGGTCTTCGGTCTATAGAAGACCTTGTAAAGGTCTTCGGTCTATAGAAGACCTTGTAAAGGTCTTCGGTCTATAGAAGACCTTGTAAAGGTCTTCGGTCTATAGGAGAACTTGTAAAGGTCTTCGGTCTATAGGAGAACTTGTAAAGGTCTTCGGTCTATAGAAGACCTTTTAAAGGTCTTCGGTCTATAGAAGACTTTGTAAAGGTCTTCGGTCTATAGAAGACCTTGTAAAGGTTTTCTGTCTATAGAAGACATTGTAAAGTTCTTTTGTCTCTAGAAGGTCTGTAAAGGTCTTCGGTCTATGGAAGACCATGTAAAGGTATTCTGCTTCTAGAAGACCTTGTAAAGATCTTCGGTCCATAGATGACCTTGTAAAGGTCTTCGGTCTATAGAAGACCTTGTAAAGATCTTCGGTCTATATAAATCCTTGTAAAGGTCTTCGGTCTATAGAAGACCTTGTAAAGGTCTTCGGTCTATAGAAGACCTTTTAAAGGTCTTCGGTCTACAGAAGACCTTGCAAAGATCTTCGGTTTATAGAAGATCTTATAAAAGTCGTCTGCCTATAGAAGGACTTGTACAGGTCTTCTGCCTATAGAAGGCCTAGTAAAGGTCTTCGGTCTATAGAAGACCTTGTAAAGGTCTTCGGTCTGTAGAAGACCTTGTAAAGGTCTTCGGTCTATGGAAGACCTTGTAAAGGTCTTCGGTCTACAGAAGACCTTGTAAAGGTCTTCGGTCTATAGAAGACCTTGTAATAGTCTTCGGTCTATAGAAGACCTTTAAAGGTCTTCGGTCTATGGAAGACCTTGTAAAGGTCTTCGGTCTATGGAAGACCTTGTAAAGGTCTTCGGCCTTTAGAAGACCTTGTAAAGGTCTTCGGTCTATAGAAGACCTTGTAATGTTCTTCGGCCTATAGAAGACCTTGTAAAGTTCTTCGGCCTAAAGAAGACCTTGTAAAGGTCTTCTGTCTATAGAAGACCTAATAAAGGTCTTCTGCCTATAGAAGACCTTTTAAAGGTCCTTTTTCTACAGAAGAGCCTTCTTTAAACCTTCTGTCTATAGAAGAATTTGTTAAGGTCTTCGGTTTATACAAGGTCTTCTGTCTGTAGGAGAACTCTTCTGTCTACAGAAGACCTCTTCTTCGTCGATAGAAGAGTCTTTTTGTACCAATATTCTCAAATCAAATAGTAGGGTACTAGCTTGGCATGGAATTAAATGAATAAATAAATGTGACAATATTTCCCGCAAAATAGCCCTCGCCCCCTCCAAAAGTTATGGAACAGCCATGAGAAGGAGGAAGAAGAAGGATGCCCCAAAAGAAGACAATAAAACACAAAATCTAACTTACCACAACAAAATTTAGTGGAAACGTGCTGCTGTTGCTGATGATGATGGTCCTGGTCACTTTCGTGATGCAACAACATTTGGTGTTGATGGTAATTGTGACAATGGTTTTGTTGTTGTTGCTGTTGGAACAATCGTTGATGCTGATTGCTGCTATACTGTTGTGGATAATGCTTCGTTGATGATGGTTTTTGTTGGAACATATCTGTTTCTTGTATTGTTTCGTCCAAATGATGGGTTTCCTTGTTCAGACTGAAGTGGCTGCGCATGATGCTGCCGCCAACGCCAACACCAACGCCAATATTGCCCGCAGCTGTTATATTATTAGATGATCCCACAGCCCCGCCACCCACATTCGTTTTCATTGTGACATTTGTTACGGTCTTTTGGCCATGACGTCGCAATGAAAATTGAAATCTTAAACGCGACACTGCCGACGACGTCGATGCCAAAGTGGTCATGGATGAGGTTGGCGTCGTTGTAGTCGATAGATAAGCGGCTTTATTTATATTGCCACCGGTGGTCATACAACAGCAAGATGAGCCACATTTTGCGTGGAACGTTGAAGAGAATTCTTCGAAATTTAATTTGCCGTTACAATTGCCGGGTCCTCCTCCGCCAACGCCACCACCACCCCCAAAAATCATGGCCTTTTCAATGCGCATTCCAACATACAATGTGCGTGTAATCAAGGTATAGGCCACCGATAGTATGACCAAAGGTAAGACGAGCAGCACCAAGTCGAGAAAAATATTGTAGGGTCTTTCGTAGGGCATGGCATAGCCTGGCCAATTTTCACGACACTTGCGATAACCTGAAATAGTAAGATAATTTTAAAATAGAACATTCTTATGAAGGGAGGAAAATGCGAAAATTTGTTAAATGATTTTATTAATTTTGGCATTTGTTTCGTGTAGAATTTCATTGTTTATTTCCGTTTTTGTTATTTGGAAGATACAATTTTACAAGTCTGCAATGTAATTTCATTGGTAATGAGAGAAATTGTTTAAACAAATTTGTTATATGAAATAACCAAACTGCATGGATCGCCATATAGTCGGCGGGACCGACTATATGATACCCTGCACCATGTATTAATATTAGTAGATCATACCACCAATGAAAATTTGGCTTTAGAGCAGTTATGGTTTGTTTTCAGAGAGAACTAATTTATGGGAGGCATATCCAATTCTAAATAGATTTTCTCGAAATTTTACGGAGACACTTTATGCTTTTATATTGGTATAGAGTGTAGGATATTACTTCGAAAAGGTTTATGTTAAAAAAAAAAAATATAGATCGGAGCCGAGTTCCACAAAATGGAAACGTACGACACGAAATTTACTCCATTTGGGCTGATATAAGGCATTATTTGCACAATAAACCAGAAATCGTATTAAGGATATATATGGGAGTTATATCCAAATCTTAGCCGATCTCGATAAAATTTACTAAAGGTATTTCCGAGCCCTATAAGATATCTTGTACCAAATATCATTGTTGTCGAATATATATATTAAGAATGTGAGGGACCAAATCGGATGAAGTATTTATATCGGAGCTATAGCTATATCTGAACCGATTTTCTCCAAATTTGATGTACCTGCTTCTAGACGGGATTCGGTTGGATTTCTTAAAATTCAGGACTTTTGGACTGATATTGGCCACTTGGTGCACAATTAACCCGAAATCGGTTGAAGTTATATATGGGAGCTATATTTAGATCAGAACAGATCTTGATAAAATTTGACAGAGGTATTTCTGGGCTCTATCTGATACCAAATAATATTGTTGGGAAATGCTTATTACGCATGTGAGGGACTTTGGACTGATATTGGTTATTTGGTGCACAATTAACCCGAAATCGGTTGAGGATATATATGGGAGCTATATCCAAATCTGATCCGATCTTGATACAACTTAGCAGATTTATTTCTGGGCTGTATCTGATACCTGATACCGAACATCATTTGGTGCGCAATTAACCCGAAATTGTTTAAGGATATATATGTGAGCTATATCCTAATCGGACCGATCTTGATAAAATTTGGCAGAAGTATTTCTTGGCTGTATCGGATATCTGGTACCAAGTATCATTGTTATTGAAGCTATATTATGAATGTGAGGAACTTAAACACAAAATCAAATGAAACATCTATATGGGAGCTATAGCTATATCTGAACCGATTTTAAATTCAATTAAATTTTTTTAAATTTTATGTACTTGCTTCTAAATGAAATTCGGTCGGATTTGCCAAAATTCAGTCCATTTTGGCTGATATTGGCTATTTGGTACAAAAAAAAAAAAAAAAAAAAAAAAAAAAAAAAAAATTGACATGGGATAAAGATATATATGAAAGCTATGTCGTAATCTGATCCGATCGCGATAAAATTTACCAAAGGTTTTTCCGAGCTCTATAAGATATCTCGTACCAAATATCATTGTTGTCGAATGCATATTAAGAATGTAAGGAACTTAAACACCATTGGCATTTATATCGGAGCTATAGCAATTTCTGAACCGATTTTCTCCAAATTTGAGGTGCCTGCTTCTAGACTCAATTCAGGCGGATTTTCCGAAATTCAGGACTTTCGGCAGATATTGGCCATTTGGTGCACAATTAACCCGAAATCGGTTGAAGATATGTATGGGAGATGTACCAAAAAGTGAACGGATCTTGATAATATTGACAGAGGTATCTGATATCTGGTACATGTATCTGATATCTGGTACCAAATATCATTGTTGTGAAGTGCTTATTACAAATTTGACGTACTTGCTTCTATACTGAATTCGGTCGGATGTGCCAAAATTTAGGACTGTTGGACAGATATTGGCCATTTGGTGCACAATTAACCCGAAATCGGTTGAAGTTATGTATGGATATTCAAACCTGAACCGATCTTGATATAATTTACCAGATATATTTCTGGGCTGTATCTGATACCGGACATCATTCTTGTGTGGTGCACTTTACGAATGTGGAGGACTTAAACACCAAATCGGCTGAAAACTACAGGTTGAGATGAAAAAACGCAACCAAATTCAGACTGCGTTCATTTCAAAGCCACTCGTCCGACAGCTGTTAAAATTATTGAAGTGATAGTCCATCATATTGCTCACAAGCGTACAAAAGCATTTTGGTGAGAATTTTCCAGAAAAAAAAGTTATTCGTGATGGAATTCAAGCGTGATAGTGTGATTTATTTATATTTGACTGGAAAATCAATAGTGGCTATCGTTAGAGCACTCCAGCATTTAAATGTGAATAAATCTTTTGTGTCCCATCTCATCGCTCGTTACCGTGATACTGGTAGTGTAGCACGACCTTAAGGAAGTGGACGGAAGAAAACAGCAACATCAGCAGAAATGGTTCGAAAAGAAAAGAAGCGACTTGATCGAAAACCCGTCGCAGTGGCCAAAAAGTGGCTCGTGAGCTGAACATATCGCAATAATCCATTCGGCAAATATTGAAAAATGAGCTCGGGGTAAAGCCATTGAAATTCCAAAAAGTGCAAGAACTTACACCGCAAGAGAAAGAAAATAGATTCAAAAGAGCTAATGAGTTGACGAATTTGAGAAAACAGAGAAACATTTGAGAAAACATTTGTTGTCCAGCAGTTTGTAAACAAACAAAATGATCGTGTTTACTTGCCAAAGACGTCAGCTGAAAAGTGCACCTTCGGTTGGCCACCAAAACTCAAGCGACGGCCATGATGATGGTGTGGGCCGCCATAACACCCAATGGTCGCTCTCCGCTCGTATTAATCGACCCTGGCATCAGAATAAGTGCCAGATATTATCGCGAAAGTATTCTGGACCTTGGACATTCCAACAGGACTCAGCACTATTGCCCTCAGCACTCGCCACCCAAGAATGCTTACAAAATGAGGTTCCTAGCTTCATTTCCAGCGCACAATGACCACCAAAATCTCCGGATTCTAATCCGTTGGGCTATTGTGTCTGGGGTATTTTGGAAAGCAAGGTTGGCACTAAAAAAATACCAAAGTGTCCATCACCTCAAGCAAGCGCTTCGACGGGAATGGGCCAAATTATGCAGAGCAACATTCGGGCAGCGTGTGATGGTTAAATTGGCCGTTTGAAGGCCATAATTCGTGCCAAAAGTGACCAATTCGAACAAATCTAAACTTTTTCTAAAATTTGATGCTATTCCCGATATTTCTTGTGGCGTTTGACTTTGTTGCAGTTTTATTATCTCGTCCTCATCTCTTTTTTCGGTATTTTGGTTATTTAAGCGACATTATTCACCGGAATTGTTTCAGATTTGGTATTTGAAGTTCGTAATGGTTACTACAGGCTATGACAGAAAATTTTCTGTGCAGATCTACCTACGCCATCGTATAGCCCCCATATAACGGCACCTCCTGATATTTGTATTTTGATGATTTTAGCGACATTATTCTCCGGAATTGTTTACAATTTGGTATTTGAAGTTCATAATGGATACTACAGCATATGGTTAAGCCCCCGTATAACCGGTATTTTGATGAATTTAGCTGCATTTTTTTTCAAGTTTCGAAATTGAATATTGTAATGGTTTTTGACAAAAGTTGCCTATACAGGTCCAAGTATTCGTATAAACCATAATATAATGGCTACATTCGGTATTTTTAAGATTTTAACAGAATTTTTAACGGATTTTATTTAATTTTTTTTTTTTTTTTTTGAAAATTCCGAAATTCGTTCCAAATGGTGGAGGGTATTTAACGTTCGGCTGGGCTGGACCTACAGATTTTTTACTAGTTTGTCAGAGGCTGTAGTACCCATTAAGATCTTCAAATACGAAATTTTAATTAATTCCCGTGGATAATGTCTTGAACGTGTTTCTATGCAGATCTCCAGAAGGAAACTTATGTCTACATCGTTTCCATTTGGAAGTTATAAAGAAATGCTCAAAAACATAATACCTTGAACATGGGTTGCGGAATCGGAGTCTAAGTCTACAAGTTGGAGGGTATATTATTATTTATTCCTTAGTTTTCGCTATTCACTGATATTTTTAATAACTTGATTGGTATGTAGGTCGAGATAGTTCAGTACAGCTTATTAATACTGTTTATCTACAATTATATATACCATTAGGTAAAGGATATGGAAAAGGGGGTTAGCATAAGAAAAAATCGCTGATTTATAATTTTAAATAATGTCTGGGAATTTTTCGCAATTCTTTACACGCCTCTTAAACTCCTGGTTCTGGGCCAGAACTTAATATACTCCGAATAGGAACTGCCATATTCATTTGGGTAAAATGTTGGAAGTATTATATATCTTTATCTGAGGCTTGATACCAACAACTCTGCCTTTATCTCTTCATGAAAGCCGCTAGAGCGTTGCTTCAGATTTTGTATCACTTCCGAACTACCCGCAATTAAAATTGGTTTTAAATACATTTTTTTTCACATGTGGTTAAATTTCCGTGGGGTTATTAAAAATTAATTCAATTTTTCGTAATTATGACCTTCATATTTTCTTTCCAACATAATCTTACTCATACCTCACGGATATGCAATGCAAACTACAAGTTAATAAAATTTCACCCATAAATTAATAAATCGAAAAAAAAAGAAAATCATTTCCACTTTTATGCATTTCCCCAGTTCATTTGGCGAGCATAACATCAGGCCTTGTATGTCATACCAAAAAGCAATTTAAATTATTCATGATCGAACAGATAATATTGTTGCAGAGCAATTCCTGCTGCTGCTGCTGCTGCTTCTGCTTCTGGTATTGCCACAGTCCCATCAAACTTAATTTACTCACCTTGTCGACTTGTCGGCATTAATTGACTGAAAATTGCAATCGGTGTCATGCACAACATGCTGCCGAACCAAATGCAGGCAATAATTTTATACGCATGACTTCTCGTCTGCCAACGTCTCGATCGCAACGGATGACAAATGGCATAGTAGCGTTCACAGGATATGGCCACAAGGGTCCAGGATGAGACCGCCACCGAAGCAGCTGTAAAGATAGTTCATGTGTGGATAAGTGGAGGATTTAAGTGCATCAGTAATTATTTGGTTGGGCTTTTTCTGTGATGTTGGTGCAGATGATGATGATAACGATGGTAAATGTAATGTTGATGGTCATGATGGTTGCGGTTGAGATCATGGTTGATGACGATGGTTTGAAAATTATAAAGGGAAGAGTAAATATTTGAAATGTTATGGCATAAATATTGCGGTTTAGTTCATGTGGTGACTATAATGAAAAAGGCGAAAAATTGTAGAACATTGCTTTAAGAGGGACTTTTGCTGATGCTTTGCCAATATTTATTTACTTTTTTTTTTTGTTTTTGTAGCTCATCAATATTTTTTGTCTCTTTAGCAGAACTCCTTTCAAAAATCAGGGTACTACGATCTCCTGCCTAAAGAGAACCGTTTATTTCATTAGGTGTCGAGAGTCAACCAAGTGATTCAACTCTGCTACATAGTTATACACACCCAAAGTCAAGACAGCGAAAGAGGTAATGTTGAAGACTAAAAATAACCAAGTACTTGAAAGAAACGGGTCAATGGTCATGTCAAAATTCAATATTTCTATTTTTGTGCCATTACCCATTTATATACCCTACACCACATAGTGGAAAGGGTATTATGTCTTTGTGAATTTGTTTGTAACAGGGATAAGGAAGTGAGATTGACCCTTAGTAACTTCTGAGGATATTCATAGAATCACTTTCTGAGAATCACTTTCCGTCCAAGTATTTTTGTGAACCAACTGCAGGTCGCATTTATTATCCAATTCAAACCCTGTTCAAATTGGTGATAGTCGCATCAGATGTAGCTCCCATATATCTTCAACCGAATTCGGGTTAGTTGTGCTCTAAAATGGCCAATATCTGTCCAAAAGTCCTGAATTTTGGTACATATGACCAAATTCTGTCTAGAAGCATGTACATCAAATTTGGAGAAAATCGGTTCTGATATAGCTATAACTCTCATATATATGTTTTTATACCCTACAACACTATGTGTTGGGGGTATTATTATACCCTACAACACTATGTGTTGGGGGTATTATAAGTTTGATTGGGCCAGAATTTATGTAACACCTCGAAATATTGGTTTCCCACATAGGAAAGTATATATGGATCTTCCTAGCTCGCCGAGCTGAGTCGATCTAGCTATGTATGTCCGTCCGTCCGTCTGTCCGTCTGTCCATGTTAATTTGTAATCACTCTACAGATCGCAATTATGGCCCGATCTTCACGAGATTTAAAATGTAGGTGGGGTTAATGTCAGAATAGAACCCTATTTCTTTTGGAGATGATCGCCAAATGTTTAGGGGTTGAAATGGACCAAATACTGAAAAAATTTCGCATTTTGCAGTAGCTATACAGGTTGCAATTATAGACCAATCGACGCGGAATTTCGCATGTAGCTAGATTTTAGGGCGGGGAAGAAGCTTACCAATTTGGGTGATCATCGGATTATATTTAGCGGGTAAAATAGACCAAATCTTTTGTATTGAAAAAATTCAAAATTGTTCATTAAACCGCGAATATTTTAAATACCGGCGAAATCACAAAGCCATGACAAGGTTACTTCTGATCTTTACATTGATGTTAACATCCAACAAATTGGATATATAGCAAAATATGTGCGATATATATGTCTATCAAAGAAGATATGCTTGAAAGATCTCTTATATCTCGAGAACGGCTGAACTGATTTCGACAGTTCTCATTAATTCAGAATGGCCTCTTGACAGGAAAGAAAAAACGTCTAAAAAAAATCGCATAAAAATATCTCTTTAAAGATGAAAATATTGATTTTGTTACATTTCCTCATATTTTTTCAATTTTGTCATATTTTTGGCATATTTTCATTTTGAATTAAACATTAGGTAATATTTCTACAGCTAACAAAACTAAGTACTTGGAATATCAGAATATCATGTACAAATCGCATTTATGGCCCGATCCTTACGAAATTTTGCATGGAGATAAGATGAGGGTCAGAATAGAAGCCTACTCTTTTTGGAGATGATCGCCATATATTTAGGGGTTAAAATGGACCAAAAAACTGCAAATTGTCTGCAGGTCGTAATTATCGCCCGATTCTCACGCACATTTGAATGAGGGTTACCGGACATTACAAAAGCCAAGCAGTTTTGGATGGCCATCCAAAAATATTCAATGTGTGAAATAGTTTGCCAACTTTTGTAGACAAAATACGAAAATGTCCATTCCAGTGACTTTTTGGAGAATTCACAAATAGAGGAAAGACGTACTTCTGACTATTTCGTTAACGCTGATTTAGTTGAAGAATATAGTCAAATGTCTGTATCTCATATAGATGCGTTTCAGTCAAAAAGCAATAATAATTGTTAATCTTTTGCCACTTCTGAGAGATTATAGGTCTTTGGGAAATATTGGTTCCAGATCTAGGTAGACCATTTACGTGCAACATCTGCCAATAAATTGGAAATGAGTAAATTAGTTTAAGTTGCTATTATTCGAAAATTAGATAACGAAACCTGATGGTTTTCTTTTATTATTTGTCACAATATCTTGTGGAATTCTTTCGAGTATCTCGCCTATACAAACTGTATGGTTTATTATAGTGTTGTAGGGTATTCAACGGTCGGCCCCGCTCGACTGTAGCCTTTGCTTACTTGTTTTTTTTTTTTAAATTTTATTGAATGAAAGCAAAAAATGTCGGAAATAGCATAAAACTTTAGAATAAGTTTAGATTTATTCAAATTGGTCACCTTTGGCACGAATTATGGCCTCAAAACGGCCAATGAAACCGTCACACGTTGCCCGGATGTTGCTCTATGGAATTTTAGCCCATTCGCGGCGAAGCGCTTGCCAGAAGTGATCGACACTTTGGTATTTTTTAGTGCCAATCTTGCTTTGCAAAATACTTCAGACACAATAGTCCAACGAATTGGTATCGGGAGATTTTGGTGACCATTGTGCGCTGGAAATGAAGCGAGGAACCTCATTTTGTAACTATTCTTGAGTGGTGCATGCTGAGTGCGATGGTGCTGAGTCCTGTTGGATTGTCCAAGGTTTGTGGCCAAAAAGTTTGCGCACCCAAGGCTTTAGCTTTAATATACCCTCCAGAATATTTTCGCGATAATATTCGGCATTTATTCTAATGTTACGGTCGATTAATACGAGCGTAGAACGACCATCGACTGGTATGGCGGCCCACACCATTACCATGCCGGCGCTTGAGTTCTGGTGGCCAACCGAAGGTACACATTTTCGGCTGACCTCTTTGGCAAGTAAATACGATCATTTTGTTTGTTTACATCTTGTTCGTTTACAAACTGCTGGACAACGAATTTTTTCTCATCGGAGAAAATCGAATTCGGCAGTTCACCACTTTCGGCCAAGCGATGCAACTCTTTAGCTGTTTTGAGTCTATTTTCTTTCTGTTGCGGTGTAAGTTCTTGCACTTTTTGGAACTTCAATGGCTTTACCCCGAGCTAATTTTTAAATTTTTCCGAAAGGAATATTGCGATATATTCAGCACACGAGCCATTTTTCGGCCACTGCGACGCGGGTTTCGATCAAGTCGCTTCTTTACTTTTCGAACCATTTCTGCTGATGTTGCTGTTTTCTTCCACTTCCGTCCACTTCCTTGACGTCGGGCTACGCTACTAGTATCACGGCAACGAGCGATGGTACAATACACAAAAGACTTATTCTCATTTAAATGCTTGAGTGCTCTAACGATAGCCACTTTTGTTTTTCCAGCCAAATATAAAGAAATCACACTATCACGCTTCAATTCCATCACGAATAACTTTTTTCCTGGAAAATTCTCACCAAAATACTTTTGTACGCTTGTAAACAATATAATGAGCTGTCACTGGAATAATTTTAACAGCTGTCGGACAAGTGGCTTAGAAATGACAGCAGTCTGACTTTGGTTGCAGTTTTTTCCTCTCACCCTGTATGTATAATCTATATAAGATCACCTACTTCTCTCCATACGCGGATAGTGACCGCAATACCAACTTTCGGAATTCCATCTCTGTCACAAAACCCAGCGGCACATTTTGTGGCATTTTGAACTATATTTTTAACAGCTGTCAGATGAGTGGCTTCGAAAAAAATGACAGCAGTCTGAAGTTGGTTGAAGTTTTTTCATCTCACTCTGTATATATATATAAGCTATATTAAACCACCTCCTTTTCTCCATACGCCAATACCAAATCTCCGTCACATAACCCAACGGCACATTGTGTGGCATTTTGAAATATTCGTACTAATTTTAAAAACCACCCCCTTCTCTCAACTACAGACACCATTAGTGACATCCATATCAAATTTCAGGATTTTAGCTCTATCCCTTCACCTAATACCAATTTTGTAACAAATATTTTTTTTCGTTGAGTTAAAGTACGCATATCAATTTTCAAAACCTAAAGTACTTCCGGAATCTGGAATTCAGCCCACTGGTTCCCCCATAATAGAATATAGTAGCATTCAGTACTTTTATAGTACTTTTATACAATTATAGTACTCTATTTGAAAACAATCTCCCTAACCCTATCCTCTCAACAATTACCTTAATACAAAATTTCTGAATTTCAGCTCTTTTTTCCCCCTCTTTACCCCATTTTGTACCATTTATTACAATTATAGTACTTTGAAAATACTTTTTAGTACTTTTCGCACAATTATAGTACACATTTCCAATAGCACTTACATGTCTCAATATGTATATCAGATATCAAGCACAATCTGTTCTCCCAAGAAAAACTTGTACTAAATATAGTACTAGTCTGTACTTTCCGTGCGCTTGTAGTACACATCTCCAAAACCATCTCTTTATAAAAAAGCTACTACCAACAGGGATCCCAATACACCATTTCAAGATACCATCTTCATCTGTTGACCCTAAATCAAACGGTTCTAAATTTAGTACAATTTAGTACAACTTGCACACTTAGCAGCCATTTCCAAAGCAACCCTCGACCAAGCGTTTATTTTAGAGCTT